TATCAAACTTCCTCCTGGTGCTTTATTGGTTTCTGCTCTTGCTGACCTCTTCCAGCAGTTTACTTTCTAACATCCTGAATGCTTCATCATGACTGTTCAGCGCACCTCACAGAGGGCTGAGATTAAAAGTTAAAAAAAGAGAAAGAGTGAACACAACAGGAGAGGAAACAGCAGAGCTTTTGGCAGCAGCCTGGTGACACCCTGGGGGGAGTCAAATGGGATGAGTAACCACCCGAAATAATGGCAGAGGGGAAAAAAGAGAGAAGAGACTCAAACAGCAGGGCCTGAGTGAGAGAATTAGTAGGAACATCAAGCTGAGAAGGCCAGGGGAGGGGAGGAAGGCAAAGTCTATCTCTCCATCTCAGCTCTCTGTTCCAAAGAGAGACGCTAAGCCCTGATAAAATAGAAAATGGGACCACTTAGTTTACAACACTGAGCACAGATATCTTGTGCTCAGTGTCTGCTGCTCTCCTGGTCTGAAAGTCTGCTTGGCTCTAAGGTATAAGAGCAGTTCCAGGGAGATCTGAAGTGAGGACAGATAGGGGAGAAGGTGGGAATTTAACAGGGGGAGAACAGATAGTGTCAGATCCACCTGCAGGGCACTGGTGTAGCACAGCCAACACAGCACCAGCAATATCCTCCCTCCACAGCTGCTACAGAGCTGCATTTGTGTCCCCTCCCTGAGCACAAGGCTGCAGGGACACAGGGAAAGGCTGAGAGGACATCAGCCCGGCCAGGGCTCACTCTGGCTGAGCCCAGGACCTTCTGCCTCCTCTATCCTGGCAAGTCTCAGCAGGGTTATGTTTAGGCTGATCAGTACTTGGTGAAGGATAAACATTTCATTTAACACAGGGAGGATGAGATTTGGGAGCTTGGCTCCTTCTGGATAGAGTGACAATGGAAACATTCAGTACTCATGCCAGGAAACATCATAAGATTTATTTAGTGTCAATAAAAGAAAGAAATATTTTGACAAAACCAGAATATTTTACTTGGGTTAATTTTTTTTAATAATTCTCTATTATACGATAGAAAATTAAAATGTAAAGTCAAATATTTTTGTGTCCCCCTCAAAAAGTTGGCATGGGTTCTTTAGCACAGTCAGGATCTTTCTTTTAGTTTTCTTCCAAAAAAGAAGCAGTGTCAAATGCTTGATGATATGAAATGTTTCAGTGTTGATGGAAGCACCTAACTAATAGTCAGGGTATGTGTGGCTATCTCTGCTGTTAACATTACAGAGAGCCTGACCTCCAGGTGCTCTCTGAGGCTTTCAGCTCAATTTGCAAAATTCAGGCTTTTCTTTAGGTTTACAGTATCATGAAGCAACATAAAGTTCAGTGATGATTGGATTAGGTTTTGACAAATATGAAAAAAACATTGAGATGTAATGTTAAAGCAGAAGGAACTCCAGGAAAGAGCAACTGGAGGTCTATTTTGTGAACATACTGAATATGTGTCTACAGCTGCAGCATATTCACACTGCATAAAGTCTCTAACAAAAGACATTATGCAAACTTTGCATTTGAATAAGAAAAAAGAATATTTGACCTGCATTCTTTTCTCATTAAGTATATTTTTTCTGTGCACATTCTGGTTCTTTTTTTTTTTTTTTTGTAATGCTAATGAAGAATTAAATTGTTACATCTTCAGACTAATGACTCTCATGAAGATTATTTTAACAATTCCTTCCCAGCCTTTTCAAGTCCTGTTTCAAGCTTAGGAGACACAGAGAGTTTAAGCTTCCATGTCTGCCTTTGGTATTTCTACCAAGTGCAGATTTGTGACATGTGCTGCCATGTCCCAGGGTACATAAAGCTTCACTTTGGTGTCCTTGACATCTTTGGTCCTTTTTGTGGCTATCTCATAATTCATGCAAGTGATGCCATACAACTGTAAGTTTTTCATGAGGTCATAAAACTGATTTATAGAGGTTTTCCCATAATCTCCAAGCAAATTAAAGAAGGTTGATGGAGCTATGCAACTCACTGTTGCCTCAACAATGGTCTCATTCAGGAATGACACTGAACAAGACTGAGGTATTAAGATATCAAGAATGTCCTTAAGAAGCCTTGTCTGTCTGTAAAAAAAAATGTGATGCCTACAAACCAAGAAGGGCTGTTTCTTCTCTACACTTAGTTGATTTTACCCATGACATCTGCCTTAAGATTAGTCAGATAGCTTCTTACTTCACTTTCTGTTTTCAAATGGAAAAGTCTGATTAATTCAACGAAGCTCAGCACTTACAGAAATAATTTGAGGTTAATCCCCTTTCCCTTCTGAGATATTTGAAGTTTTAGATTATGCATTTTACAGACAGTGTTTTATTTTGCTTTTAAGCTTTTAAAATTATTTTATAACGAGGGAAATATTCCAATAAGGAAAAATTCTAATTCCAAAAATTCCAATAAAGAAAAAGATATTTATATATACCTGTATATATTTGCATATATATATATAGATAGATATAGGTATAGATATATATACAAACTGGAAATATCAAAGTATATATTTGTATATCTAAAACTGTGGGGGTTTCACATATACAGATATTAAACTATTTAAAATGCACATATATAAAAACTAAACACAAACCTCAAACTCTATTTCCAAACCGTTAAAAGTGGACATTTCAGAATTGTGGGAACTTTATTCTTCCGTCTTTATTTCTGAAGCTGTTTGTGAAGCGCTTGCATTTTGACAGAACTATATAGTCCAAGAAAATGAGCTTTCACTAAACTGCCTCCAACTTCAATATATGCCCTGTGTCAAACTCAGAGAGAGCTTCCAACCTCTGTGGCTGGGGCTGAGTGCCAATTACACTGCACCCAATGGCCTATAACTGTCTTTTTTGCTTCTGTGAATATCACTTTTCTAGTTAAAATCTTCAGGACAGCTTGCAAAGTGTTTGCTACTATTGCTCTGGAGTTAAAAGTAACCTTGAAAACATTTCTCCATGGTAGTAATCGAGGCGATTCTTCCATCCCTTCTCAAAAATGGCAGTATATCGCTATCTTTCCTCCTCAAACTCTGCCCAGCAGGCTTCTGAAGACCTTTTTAAGGTCGGTGTTATCCTTTTTATTTTCTTCTTATTTGAATGTTTCATCTCAAACTTCACAGGGAGATGACTATCTCCCAAGTGCGTGAAACCAGCCAGGAGTGTTTTATATGTACATTGTAAAGCATTTGATGTAATCTGTACCGTGATTATACATAAATAAGTAAAGAAAATCTTTTTTAAATCACCTTTGTATTGGAATGAGTGGGATGATCTCTTTACCAAAGAGATCATACAAACTAAGAGAGTTCTAAAGGTGAGAAATTCAGGCCCTTTAAAGAGTATTTGAAATAAAACCCAGGAAGCATAGATGTTATAAGTATTAGTTTTATTACTAGAATGAAGAAATAATTGTTAGAATGATTTTCTGAGTGATTTAAAAGTGCTAATAGAAGTATTTAGCCATATTCTAATCACACAGCTTTATAAATTGGAAGTAACTTAATGATATGAGTTCATTAAAAAGGAGATGGCATCAACCTTGCCATATTCAGGCACTGCACAAAGAGATGAAAGTATTTCAATAAAAGACAGACACAGAACTATAGTTCAAGTCAATACTGCCTTATGGCCAGTGTATTGCAACAGGCTGTAAAAGAAAGTAATGAAATCATTAGATACTGTGTCCTTGCATTCTATTTTCTATTTACATGATAATAAACCATTATTAATATCATCATCCTTGTTATTGTTCTAGTATTGTGAATTCTTGTAGTTTTGTCGTTATATTCCTTAAAGCCTCAGATGCTGGAATCAGGTGATCACCTAGTAAATTTCCAATTTCTTTTTTTTTTTAATTTTATTTAAATGTAATATCCTAGCTTTCCTAGTTGTGGAAGGAAGTTCAAAAGGATCACCTAGTAAATTTCCAATTTATTTTTTTTTTTAAATTTTATTTAAATGTAATATCCTAGCTTTCCTAGTTGTGGAAGGAAGTTCAAAAGCACATTTTGAGTGCAACTCAAATAACCTAATTTTATGTAACTACATCAGATGAGTCAAAGCACAAAATTTATAAAATCCAGGCAGTGTGTGAAGCACAGAAGCTGCCCTAAAGGTCCCAGCATTTAAATGAAACTAACTCTGTTGTCACCAGTGCCAGTAATTACAATAAGCCTGGCATTTCTTGTTACCCTGTGAAATTACCTGCAAGGCCTTTTCATATTGTCTCCATGCTGTTGTTTTCATGCTCAGCAGAGCATTAAGAGTCAATGATGGGCAGCTCTTGTGTTTGACTGCGAATCGTGGGGCATTTTGCTTTGGACTCTATAGAAAATCCTCAAGGTGTTTATTGACAAATGCTTCCTACGGACCGCTGTAATAGAGAATTCTCCTCTCTGCCTGCTCCCCAGTTCCTACAAGGCCAATCTGCTCCACATCTAGGCATGCTGTTGCAAAAAATATATTTTTTTCAGTACCCTCCGTAATGTGCCTTCAAGAGGAGCTATGGATCAAGCGTGCTCCAGACCAAAGGCACTCAGTCCTCCAGCTCGGAGCTGTGTGCTGCCATTTCCCCTCCATTTGTTTCTATGGAGCTGACTGTGTGTGCGGTCATCCATAAGGGTGCTGAGATACCCTGGAGAGAGGAGGAATAGCTGCAGCTATTTTTCATTATTATATACTTCACTTTGTAATAAATGAGATCCATAGCATGTGAACGCCGCTCTTGTAGATCATCGTATCAGCAAGCACGAGGAACCTTGCGTGCCACAAAGCTAAATAAAATAAAGTAAGTAATCCCGAGAAAAATAGGCTGGGGGGAGACCACTGAGTGTTCAGGAGTGCACAGTGCATCCTGTCAGCCTGAGAATGACCTCAGGATTTGCAGCAGCTAGAGAATGGGTGCTTTTAAAGCTAAAGCCGTGGTCTACATGCCTGTCTCATCTCAATCTCTATCCATACAGAGTGCAGAAATGTACAGACTTGCACTTCCATTGCCTTGCAGGTGTCTTTGGGATAACAGGGACCAGCAAACAACCTGTGACCCAAAGGGAAATAGCAGCAGCAGCAACTGGGCTCTTCTCCAAAGCTCGTGATAATGGTGAGTGTTGAGCATCTCTATAAAGTAGGGCAGATCAGGTGTGGAATTTTCAGACCAAGTTCATGCCAAATGTAGTTTTGTACAACTCCCATGGTCTTGCAGGTGGGGCAGGTATTTGTTTGCAGTGCAACATGGCAGATCTGGATGGTCCTGCTAAGAGTCCAAAGTGAGTTTCTCACATGTTAACATTTTGACCAATAACCCGAAGATGTGAACTACTGAATACCTAGTCAGTGCTAAAAAAATTTTGGATATCTATTTCCTGAACAGCAGTTGTAGTTCAGGAGAGGAATTTTTGTGTTATTTCCATAGGCCAGTGATATTTTGGTACCTTCTGCCTTTGCAAAATGATCTATTTATTGGGAGGCATAAGGAAACAGTCCTAAGGCTGGGTTTGGTGTACACAAGTGTTAGCAGGAGGCTCCAAAATACCAAAACTTAGTTCTGGAAAACGACATTCAGAATCATAAAAAGAGTGAAAGAATAGAGATAGAATAAAATGTAGCTCTTTTCTGGAGGTGAGGTTTCTACCTTACAGTTTATTTGACATCATAACACTCATAAGTAAAATCACAAATAAAAATTTACACACACACACACACACACACACACAAATAGAATTCTCCTGCTGTTCTAAAACACAGTGGTTTTCTTCACTGTTTGCCTTGGGTGTGAGTTGAGAGGATTCTGGTTTGGTTAAACTTTCTGCCTCTCAGATAAAAAACAGCAGCAATTTTCTGCTTGAATTTCTCTGTGACTAAATCCATTGATCATCCTTTCTCTCAGTGAGTGAGGAGTGTGTTTTCTCTTTAATAACTACTATCCTTCTCCCTGAATATTTTTTTCTCTCCCCTTCACTTGTTTGTGTTGTGTTGGTCAGTCCACTGCACTATTCCTCTGAGAGACAGAGAGAGCGCAAAATTGAAGTTATTTTATGCTTGGTCTCCCTCGGTCCCAATTTTCAAATCTTCATGTCAATTTTCACACATCAGTGTCATATGGCGAATGCTATGGAAATTTCAGTGGGGTCCTTGGGAGACAATTTATACATGACCCTCTATTCCCTCCCCCAGCCAGGCTGCAGACCCTGTCTTTACAAAGAATAAGTGGATTTATAATTAATGTGGATTTTAAAATATGAGTACATTTGGAAATTTTTCTATTTGTTTGCCTCCGTTGCAGTACTAGTTCAAAGGAATACAAGCTCTCTCTCTTTCTCCTTTCCAACCCTAATAAACTGGCCAAGCTAAGTTAATACAAAATTATCTCATGTTGAAGTAAAAGGTCAACTCATTATTAGCTTTACTTGTTTCCCTAAAAGTTATGCTGATGAAGGTTTATCAATCAACTAATTTGGTAATCACCAGTTAGCAAATGCACTCACTGCCACCTACTTAGGTGAGCAAGGTTAGGAGGAACTGGAATATGGTGAGCTTGGCTGGGCAATTATATCTTGTTTGAAACTAATGAATGTGCATGGTCTTAAGAGTCCTTGGTGAGTAAAATCCTAGGAGAAGATACAAAGGCTCAGCTGACACCAGCAGAGCATTTCAGTCATTGACCTTAAAGTGGACCCCTGACATCAGGGAGGGGTACAGTCACCTGCTGCATTTTACAGTGTTAATTGTCCTCTCTGTGGGCAATAAAGGGATGACAAGTTTTCCAGGTTACATCCCAAAATATCTTAAAACTTAAGCCATTTGTGGGGAGACCTAAACCGCACCCAATCCCCACTCTTTAAATTTTGCTTAAAGATGGTACCAAGGCATCACATGTACCTGGTTTTCTGCGTCACCCATCAGCAGCACCTAGAGAAAGATTTTCTAACATCATTAGCCATGAAGTTTTGGATAGTTTGTTTTAGTTTGTTCTTTTTTTCTTTGACAAATCCAGCAAATAGTAATGGGAAAACCTAATGCCTGACATTGAAAGAGCTCCGTCTTCCATTCTTTGTGGACACTCAGCACCTCTTGCAGGTTCCCTGCTCCACCAAAAAGAAATTTTTTTATCCTTCAATCTCTTTCCTATCCTTCACCTCATCTTTGTCTGATTTTTTTCAATTTTGAAAACTGTCTTAGGAATTATAGTGGTAGTAAAATGGTTGAGGGAATTTTTCTTTTAAAAAATTCTGGGGACCAGGTTTGGGCTCTGCAATGCAACATCTCATCCAGGAGATGTAGAAATCAGCATCACATCATCCTCCAGTTTATTTAAGCTGCTTCAAAGCCAGCTGCAATGTGTACAACAGCATACTGAAACCCTCCACCAAGCTGCCTTCCCTGGTGATTTTGTGTGCAACCTCTGGATGAGATAGCTTCGTTGGAATTGTGGTCCTCCTCCATTGTGGCCAGAGGGAAATGAACTGGATGAGCATTGTGCTGTGCCACACAGGGACCAGCCAATGCACTCCACGTGTGTGCAGGTAAGAACACACTGTGGTTTGAAGTAATATGACCCTTGGAAGGGCTGCAGAAAATATATTTGTTTGGCACACTGCCATTTTGCTGCTGGCTGCAATCTTATCACCTCTACCAGTCTAGGTCAAGGAAACCCCTGCAGAATAATTCAAGAAGGGAAAAAGAGCATCTGTAGGTCCTGGGGTTGCCTCATCCCTTAAGGTGCTGTTGTCTGTGGAGGCACTACTCAGGCAAAATCAGAGAGTTCCTCTGAGATGCTGAGGGCTGCAGGGATGGCCTTATGTAAAGCTGAAGCTGTAGGAAATGTTCACTGTGAACCATGTGAAGATCTCAGTTTTTGCCTTGCTGGAGAAATTAATCTTGGAACAGTGACCAAGATTGCCCCAGTTTATCCAGGATGTGCCCATAGCACTTCTCTAACAAGTCTTATGGTGGTGGATGAGGTGCAAACTCTGGGACAACTTTGCACCACACAGTCACAGGACCATCAGTTGAGAGCTGCAAACCTGCTGTTCTCACCAGCTCTACTGAAAATCAGAATTGCCTGTATCTAGGGTTAAATGAGGCATTTTCACTGCTGGAAGAGCCTGCCTTTCGCTGATGTAGCTGGCAGAAGGATAGAGCCCTCAGCTATATTGTATATATTCCTGTAAAGACAGGGGTAATCCACCAAATTGAGGAAATAGCACATAACTCAGGGAGTGGGCACGTGCCTCTGTGTGTGTGCGTGCACCTGGGTGTGTGAGAGACAGAGGGAGAGATGAGATATATGGGGAAATACATGAGAGATGAGACTGGAGAGATAATTTCCAGAAAATACAGCAACCATCAGAAACTCTGTCTTTCCAGCTAGAGGGTTTTGCAGTGCTGGTGCTTCTCTCTTAGCTTGACAGCTCTACTCTTAGCCCAGCTCGTAGTTGCCGCCTATAAATTTAATTAGAATGGGGGTAGGGGAGGAACAAGCCTGCACGGCACTTGGCACAGTGCTGAAAATAACCAGCTTTAATACCTTTGACATTGAAGCACCTGCTAAGGGCACAGGCTGCTGTACAGCTGACTGACCCTGCTCTGGTGACAGGATGTGTCACTTTGCTTGTCCTCAAAACGTGCAGCCAACCCATAACCCAGGGGAGGCGTGCATGGCTCTGGGGCTGGGCATCTCCCCGAGCACCACGAGGCAGCATTGCACCCTGGAGGCACCAGGGAGGGACACCAAGCACCCCTGGCCACGTGGAAAGGGAGCTGCTCAGGCACTGCAGCGTGCCTCATGTATTTCATTTTTCTCTCTCTGATGTAGTGGGCTATTTTCTGTGTTTGCAACTAAGTGCTGCACTGCAGCCAGCCGTGAACATTTCTGTTGGCCCAGCTGGCCTCTTGTTTTAATGCTGTTCTCAGGGCTCTCCCTGGGTAGAGCAGGGAAGTAAACAGATTGGAACTTTGCCCACACATATATATTTAATTGTGAGCTGATTTTGTGCTAGGGAAATGTAATAGACCCATCACTTCAGGCAGACAACTCCCAGCTGAGGCAACAGGTTAGAGATTTCCCCCACTTCTGAAGATGTAGCAGGTCTTATGGATACAGGGACTCCTTGACAGAGATTGAACCTTTTATACTCTTTCTGATAAGCTCTAGGCAGTGTGGAGGCAATTTAGGGATTTGAGGGATATTTGACCTCTTTCCTATGCATGCTGTGGGGATCTGCTTGTGATCATGGCTTTGGGTCATGTTTGGAGATGTCCCAGCTGAGAAAAGAAAGTCCCTGAGCTCCTCTCACAGAGTCCATCAGTGACACAGTGTCAGGATGCAAATGAAACCTGGACCACATCTGACCCTTTTGCCACCATTAAGTGGCACTGATGCTGCTGCTAGAAACACTTTTCTAATGTATAATTTGATTTTTTTAAAATTGTGTTTGAATCTAACCCAATTTTAGTTCAATTCAAGTTAGCCAAATTCAAATCAAGATCAGATTGAATTCCCCTTGAAATCTGAGGATATTTTCATATCCTCCAGAGAAAGACTCAGTGGAACTGAACTTAATTTGAGGAAAAAAAGGCTTCAAGTGTCTTGACATCATCTTCACAGAATCATGGAATAGGTTGGGTTGGTAGGGATGCTTAAGATCATCTGGTCCATGAGCAGACAGACAATGAACAGAGGGACATCTCACACTAGACCAGGTTGCTCAAAGCCCCTTCAGATCTGACCTTGAATATTCATCACCCTTTTTCTTTTTGGGGTTCCTCTGCCATGCACCACCCTGCCTGGCTGTATTGCTCTGTTCCAAAGCCCTGGAAGCAGCTGCATTTGCTCAGACCTCAGGATGAAGCAGCACAGGCAGCCTCTGAGCATGGCACCACGCCAGGCAGAGGGGTGCACGCAGCCTTTGCATACACACACAAGACCTGAGAGGGCAAGACAAAATCCATTTTAAATATGCAATCGAGTCGTGCAATTTTCAGCCTATTCAGGCTTAGCAAATGCCTTTGAGGGATCAGACTACCAAGCACCACAAGCACAGTTGTGACTATGCACCAGTCTGTAATGCAACAGCTCTGATGTGAAGTTATTACCGCAGGCACAGTGTTGATACCTGTGTTAAGCCTCTGAGCATTGCCCAGTGTGAACTATGTGTTTCCACAAGACTGAGCAGACCCAGACAGAGCTGATTGCTCTTGCAGTTAATAAAAAGCACTGCACTTTCTCTCTTGACAATCCCGACACCTGAGTGCTTCCTACGTATGACAGTTAGCACATTCTGGTTGCTCAGTGGCCTGTGAGAAATGAGCCTCTTCTCAATTTAGTTCCTATCATCAGACAAGCAGTACACACAATAAAAAACACACCTTGACAGTCAGCCCCCAAAGTAGCCCTGGGGACTGCAGGTCCAAACTTCCCTTTCTCTCTTACGCAAAGCCATAAACCAGACGGAATTTATCGGGCTGGGCTTCCTTCAGGTAAATCAAGGTAACTCCACCAAGGTCAAAGGAGTCACTCTGGTCAGCCAGGAGGAAGGGAACCTCTGGTGACCCCACCACGTTTCTTCTCTAGATGGGGCTTGTCAAGCCCCCCTGACTCGCACTGGTGGCCGTGGTCTGCCACAATGTCCCCTCAATCAGAACAAGGTGAAAGCCCTGCCTCACCCATGAGCCGAGCGTTTGGAACTGACCTTCTCACAGCAAAGAGCACCACCATGGGTATGGTGTCCTTTTTTTTTCCAGGAGGGTGGGGAAGGCACAGAGCAGAGGGGCTGGAGGGCTGGACCAGCAGCAGGATGGTGGCTGCTGCAACAGGCTGTGCTCCAGCCAAGCCCAGCTCATCAGGTCATGTCAAACGGAGCTAATATAAATGTCAGCGTGCTGCTTTCAGTTGTGAAATCTGTGTTTGTTGTACTGCAGTTCATTTTCAGTCTTCCAGCTCTATGGATGCTATCAGCTGACATGTCTGGCTGGTATCCTCTGCCAAAAATACACACACTCTCAACATTTCTCAGGAGTTGGGTTTTTTCCCCCTCCCTGTGACATGCTGATGTCAAATTTCTTCCTGGCTCTGTGATACACAAGACTGTCCACACCTACCAGATAATGAGTTTAACATTTCAAGGACAGAAGCTCTCAGTCTCAGTGAGACACAGGGTGGATGTGCAGGCTTGATTTGGGGTAGGTGCCAAAGGTGGCAGGGCTCTTTTAAGCTTTTTTGGCATGTTCTCTCTTAAGATAATCCAACCCAACAGAAACAGATGTGTACAGCTCAGAGTACCATTGGTATTCTTGTCACAGTTACATACTTTGTTGTTGTTAACAGCAGCTTAAATTCTTCTCCCATTTTTCATTGCTTTTAGAATAAATTCTGTTCTTCTGAGCACCCAGGTCTCAATCTTCTGTTTATGCTGCTCTGGTTGACTTCAGGCTCTTCATCATCTCCCCACCCTACAATTTTATGTTGGCTTCACAAATAAAACTTTTACTCTCTTCCATTCTGCTCCCCCACCTTTCTCTTGGCAACCTTATCTGCATTCTGCATATCCAAAGCATCAAGCATCCATGCTCTGACAATGACTCACGAGTCTACTCTGGACTTGTTTCTTTTTGTCCAAAACTGAAACTTCCTGCAGTTCCCTTGACTTTTACTCACTCGTGGTGAGTTGTCGTCTTAAGCTGACCATGAATTTCCAGTGTCCTCCTCACAAAATCTAGCCCCTTTTCCTCTTTTTTTTTTTTTTTTTTTTTTTTTTTTTTTTTTTTTTTTTTTAATATTGCTTGTACAATCATGACTTGGAACTCATATTTGTTACTGAGGCTCCAAATGTAAGCAATTTTTCCAACTGGCTCACCTCCCTCTAATTTATTACCTACAGAATGTGTCTATGTCTTTCTGAGTTTCAGTTATAACAAACAGAAAAGATGCTGAATTTACTGGTGCTCCACACAAACAAAACTCTTACAGAGGTTTAGAATTACTTGGATTTTATCTGTGGAAACATACTTTATTTTTCTGGACAAATTGAATCACATGTATGTTTTTTCCAAATTTCTCTGTAAAAGTAATTTCTCCAGCTTATCAGTGTGGCCAATGTATTGCTGTTTTGGTTTCCTCCTTGAAAGGAAGATATTTCTTCATGGGAGTCCTTCTGTTTCAACAAATGCAAGTTAGTCCTTACTTTGAAGACACTCTTCTGCCTCACTCTTTAGCTTGGTCTGATGAGACACTGCTGGTCACAGTCAGGAGAAGGTCAGAGGGGCAGCCAAGGAGCCAGAATCCTGTCCGCCCTTCCAGGCTGGCTGGCCAGGAGAGACACACTGTCTCCTTATGACAGAGAGAAGTCTTCTCTTCCCTGGATGCAGCTGCATTTTATGCTGGTGCACGTTCTCCTGATATTTCTCCTGTTCTTCTGCCAGTTCCTCTTCCCTTGTTTTTTGTCCCTGGGACAAGAGCAAGATCTTTTATTTTTATTTCAACAACACTAAGTTCAGTTGCTCCCAAACCTCAGTGCTGAGGACTGTGAGGTGCCTCATGCAATGCCGGTAATCAATAACATAAATTAGAAAATGGTTATTAAATGGCAGCAGAAGAGCAGAATGGGACAGGAACCAGAAAGGCAGTTCCAAACTATGTGTTTGAGACACCCATGCTTTGACCTTGATAACTGGTGGATCAAATAGGAGTTGGACTTCCATGGTCCATATGGGTCCCTTCCCACTAGGGATATTCTACAATTCTGTGGTTGTTGCACTAATGTTGGCAGAAATGTGGGGTCACCAGGACCAGAATCTGTTCCTCTGGCCAGTGAATGACAGCAGTGTTTTTATTTTGGCAGGCCAACATCATTCCAGCCACCAGCACAAGGCAAGACATGCACACACAGAGCATCCTCCTGCCCGTGGCAGCCAGGGCACCCTTCAGACATCCCACCTCACCTGCTGACACAATCCTTCAGCGCCCACCAAAATCAAATGCAGCTAATTGGAAGGTGATGACAGCCAGGGGATTGCTGGATTTGCATGCTAGTTCCTCTATTTTAGCATCACACAGCCCAAGTACAGGTAAAACGACACTCTGCACTTCATTCCACTTCATTCGATTTCCTGCCTTCTCCACAGTACACATGAATACACACACACACACACACTTTCTCTCTTGGTCTGTCCTAAAGCCAAAAATCAGCTGGAGATTGCATTACATGTCCTTTCCAAAAGGCTGGCACAAAACTTCAAGGGGCAACATGTTAGTTTTTTTTTTTCCTCTTGCTAGGACAGGGCTGCAAAATGCAAGAGGTCTTTAGAAATCACAGCAACCCAGCTCAGGTGGGGAGAACAGCTCTTTCCACAGGCTGGGTTACAGTTTCCTCATACTTTTTATGCCAGGGCTCAGGATGGATTCCTGGCTTTTGTACCACATGATACTGTTGAAGTTTTGTTTCGAGTACCCAACCTCCTCCCCTGTTCTACCACTGGCATCTGCCCCTGCTCTAAATCTACCAATTATTTCCTTTAAGTGTCAGCAGCACACCAGACACACTGAGATATAACCTTTCTTCTAGTTGATGCTGTTAAACTATTACTTGAAACTGAAGTTGCAGCTGACAAGTGCTACTTCAGTCACTAATAACTACTTCAGGCGTGCTAGTGGTGTCTTGGCTCTTAATGCTGTGGCTCAGGGCTCAGGGAGTGTCTTTACAGGTCACTTAGAGCCATCCATCTGATCTGAAACAAGATCAGTCAATCTCTCCTCTGGCTCTGTGCCTTGCTTGCCAGGAGGTTCTGTCTCCATCCCCCCAGGGCTGCAGCAGTGGCATATCTGGCATTTCTGGCTGGCTTTAGGGGCTGCCCAGCTTCCAGAAGTTCCCACTTTGGGATGTACCTGTGAGCCATAAGCTGAGTTTTTCTGTTTTCAGCCAAAGAAAAGTATGGGTTACAATTCTTTGAGGATGAATACAGCCCTTTCAAGGGAGAAAGATCTCCTTTACTTGCCTGCATCAAAATTTACTTTCTATTTTCTTTTTTTTTTTTTTTTTTCCAAGCAGGTTCTGTGTTCAAGAGCTTCCTGAGAAAAACAGGATTTCTGCATGGAAGGAGGATGAGTTCTCAGACACACACATGAATTCTGCAGCATCAGGTAAGGAATAGCTTTCCTTTCATTTCCCACTCCCCTTTCTTTAGGCTCAACTCCTTCAATCTAATCAAAGCATCTGAGGCATCTCAGACACAGAAGATTCACAGTTTGGCAGAGGTCACAAATATTTCCTTTATATTTTGGCAGGGTTTTGGCTCAGTCTGAGGATGAATTTCAAACAGAGTAATATAAGGCAAGGGCAGATCATCAGGGGCACTGAGCCTTCTGCCCTGTTCCTGCAGAGAATCCTCTAAGAGATGTTAAACCCAGAATAACCTCCACTTTTCCTTTGCCTCCTGCATAGAAGAAGCTACAATGTGGTATAACAAACTAGGTCTGGCTTTTCAATAGAAAAAAGATATGTCAGGTTTTAAGTCTCCTTGACATGACAACATCTTCATCTAAATCGTGAAGCCATCCTTTGGATAGCCCAGCCTTGGTCTAATGTCTTTTAGAAAATGATGCTCATTTAATTCCTGAAATGTGAAATCTAGGTCTCAGGTCAAGAGCATAGATGTTGTTTAGCTGAAAAATTTAGATCCATCAGACTGTCTGCAAGAGTCTGCAACTTTTCAAACTTTAGATTGCAGCTAGACTCTTACTGCTATATATAGTCTTTTGAAGAGTAGCATCTAAATAAAAATACCCTTGAAGTACAGGGCACTTTTTATGCTCCCACCCTCACAATTTTTTAGGAAACAAAAGACTTCTTCAGGGCCACAACTCGTCTGTACAGAACAAATAGCCAGACCTCAGCTAAAACTTTATTCCTTTTTCACTCTGTATCCGGCCCTGAATTCTTCCCTCAGGCAGGATTTTGATGGGACTTGATGGGAGAATCCCCTAAGACAGGCAGGGTCAGATCACACAGATGAAGGGACGTGACAATATGGGAGATATGGAAGCACCTCAGCCAGAGCAGGGCAGCTACTTCATGAGAAAATAAAACAAGTTCTTATCTTAGTAATTGTATGGACAAATTAAATCTAGTCCCAAGCAATCAGGAGTCACCCCTTCACTGCTACAAGATGACAGACCTCCAGCCAAGCCACATATCCTTTGGTAGGAGAGTGATCTGGCTGAATCTCTTGCCAGGCAGATTTCTAATTCTCATAAGATGTGCTGGTTATGGGCAGGATATTTCTACAACACAGGGAAATTTTCATCCTCAATGGGAAACACAGCTGGGCCAAAGGAAAGCTTGTGTGGCACCTGTATCTAGAACAGATCACACACACATATGAGCTTCCAGAAGGCAACAGAAGCTCCATTCATATGGCAATTGTGTCTTTATATCCTCTCTATGTGTATGAATTTATGGTTGTATGAACAGCCATATCCAGTTATTGAAGTATTTGATGATCCAAAGTGCTCAAGGCCTTCTTATTCCATCTCATTCACCGTTAAAGTTCTGCACAACCTTTTTACTGGCTTTCAGCCTGCCATAAATACAAATGACTTGCCAATAAAAGCTGGTATCTCCCTCTGTCAGGAGGACTATAGCATCGTTGTTATTTAAGAGGTGGCAGTTTTGACACAATTCTTATTTAAAATTTGTAAAAGGAGAAAAGATGCTGTAATAAATCTGCATGTTCTTCCTAAGCAGCCATTGAAAGTGGATGCTCTTCCCCTTTCCAAAAGCATCAGCCGTTTAATGTTTCCTAAGTTGTTTTTGCATGAATTAGGGCGTTGGAGTGAAGCACTGTCACTTACAAAACCACGCTGTTGTCTCCAGCTAATTTTGCGTTAGTAGCTCTTTTAAACTGCTAAATCTAGTTTTTAGTGTATGATGATTTTGTTTAGAGATGGTGTAAAACAGCTGCTACTTTTCTGATGAGTTGCCTGTTTTCCATTTTATGTCTCTGCAAGATGTTGGGTTTAATCATGGCCCCGTCTGACAGGCAGCTGAGAACAACCTGTAAAAAACCTCCAAAACACAACAGAAAGCAAAGAACCCCAAATCCAGGGGTCCAGCCACCCATACAGGCAAATTTCAGAGTGATCAGTCCTTCTGTCTTTACTGGTACCCTTGGACCATCTCAATTCTACACCAGGATGGTGTAAATGAGGTGAGCAGGAAAGCAGGAAAATTGCTGCTCTAAAAGAGAAAATGAGTGGCCATCCAACACCCCCAGACTGTTTCTGGGGGGCTGGTTCAGGTTAGGATGGCTGTGCTTTTTGTATCTTTGCTGCTCGTGCTGCTGCTCCCTGCTCTCTGCCTGGTTATGACCAGAAGGCTGAAATTACGGCTTGGATGAAATTATGGCTTGGGGTGTCTTTCCACAGTAATTAATCACTCTGCTTTCCTCAGATGCTGCTTGCAGCCATTGCTTCTTGAGTGTCGTTTTGCCACTGAATTGCTTGGGTGCCAAACTCTTCCCAGGGTATGGCTACTCGTGGCCATCAGGAGAAGGGAGCAAGGGCCAGACTGTTCATGACTTAGCTACCCCTCACTAACACTCCAAGGGGCCTCTTTTAAGCAAAACCCCCATTACCTTTGTGAAAGGTGTTTTGCATTTGGTGTTCACCAGAGGTTCTCATGAGGAAATACTTAGTGGTCACCTCGTAGATACTTTGCTACTGGCTTTCCCAACCAGGCAAACAGCCCTGCTTTGTTCAGTGGCAGAAAGCTGAATGGTTGTCTTTGATCTAGCCTTATCCCCTGTATCCTGTGGGCTGGCATTTGTTCCATGTGTTCCAAGCAAGAAAATGACAAAACTCATAAAGGAAGCACTCAGAGAACTTCTCAAAGAGGTGAAGACTAAGATCTTTCCAATAATAACCCACATTCCGTAAAAAGATCTTAGATTCTGGATAGACAAATTGGAAGCAGCTTGCCTCCCTGGTTCTTCCTTCCTTTTGCACATACTCTCCTCCTCAGCACAATTCAGGCTTTTCCAAAAGCAGTGCAGCCCATTGAACAGCAGTGATCTAAACTGTTATGGAGATCTTAAACTGCTGAATTGTTACAAGCTAAAATTGATTGCAACTGAGCCTTTGAACTGAAGTGCTGGAAACAGCGCAGAGAGAAGTGGGGAAAGGGTACAAAAGATTTTGCTTTATTATTTGGGGTTTTTTTCCTCTTTCATAAGATTTCTGAACAATTTGGCCTTGATGAGTTCTGCATCTCTCTCAATAGCCATTGGACTGTTTTTCCTATTATTTTCAACTTAAAAGGTATTCTTGGTTTGCCTTCCAATTTGCTGGTTGAAGTGTAATTGTTAAAGAATTCTAAAAGTCTGCTTCAAAGTCAGATCCAGAGGGAAAATCTATGATGTCAGATTCAGAGGGAAAAATACTATTAAATTTACTCCTCCTCAAGCTAAAACCCCCCCATTTTACCTTTCCAAAACTAAAAATCTTAGCCTGTTTCACTCTACTCTGCCTTGATTTTATTTGCACCCTCATCACAAGAGCATCTGAACACCTCCGAGTAGTACATTAAGCAATGTGACTAACATCTGTCACGAATAGTTTGCTCGCTGTCTCTCAGCATCCTTAAAATGAATTTACTGCTTCTGCAGGATCGATAGGGCTGGAGACAGGCAGTCTCTGTTCAGCCTCAGAGCTGGCACAGTTTGGGTGAGACCCTTGTGATGGTTCCCTCAGTCTGCTGCCCCTTTGTCCCCCAAGTGCCAGCTCAGGCACTGGGGAGCACCCATGGAGGAGCTGCTCTGCACCAAGTTTATTTCCAGTGGGACAAAGAAGTCCAAGTAATTTGGGGAAATCAGATGAGGCTATCAGTGTTTCCCTGCTCTCAGTTGCATGCTGAGGGACATGTGTCTGGTCTTGTGTGGAGCCCAGATGGATCCAGCATCACTGATTTTCCAAGGTTTTCTTCCTTTCTCGGGTGACTTTGCTTATTTTTTTAGCATCAGTTACAACTTAGGGCTATTGATGGACAAGGATGTTGCTGTTTCTCACCATGAAAAACTTGTCTGACAGATTTCTTTGACAATGTTCTCAGCCACTGAAATCAGGTCAGCAAATGTCCCTTGCTGAACATAGCTTGGAGCCCTCTCCTCTGGAGCCAGCACCACAAGCAAGATCTAGTCATCCTGGGGCACTGTAATTTCAAGCAATATGTTTTCTTAATGGGCCAAATATGCTTTGCTTAATTTTGCTTTCAGAGCATGGGATTGTTATTGCTCAGTGGCCCCACACAGGTGTTTAAGCAGTTTTGTGGCAGGATTTTCCAGTAGCAGCATGAGGTTTTATTGACTGTTACCTCAAGAGTAACTTCAGAGGAAATGACATCCCCAGCTGGTTGTGATGGATGCATGTGGAGCGGTGGCAGAAAACTCAGGAGCCAGTGACCTCTCTGTCATTGTCTATCATATTTTGGGTAAGAATGCAAAGCAACTGTAAAAGGACACTGCTTTTCACGCAGTGAGAAGAATTAGGAGAGATGAAGTTACTAAATTACTTATTTTCCCTGAAAACTGTCAGCTTGTCAGCTCTGATAATATGAACATACTGAGGATAGGTCAATAAGTAAAATAAGTTCCATATTTTGTGAGGATTCTAGGTTGTAGGATTTAATTTGGTCTGTGAGTGTGGATTAAATGGTAGACTAGAGGACTCTGGCCTCTGTGTGGTAACCTAAATTATAAATTACACAGCTTTTGACACATAAGAGACATCTGACCCACAACTTGCCCTTGTTCCAGTTCCATAGTAGGTCAAAACCCAGGTGAACACCACTAATTTCTCCTCAGTGCCACCAGCCTGTACCTTGCCATCCATAAAAAGCAAACCCAGGTAGGTGGCTGTTTGGAAACCCAGCAGGCTCCAGCAGGACCCAGCCAGGGCACGTTCCAGAGCCTGTTTCTCTGGGTAATATCTGAGACTGTGCTCCACTGTTAGCAGCAATGGGAACAGGAGCTATCTGATCAAGACAGATAAATACATCTATTTCAGAATACATAATCTTACCACATATGTGAAGTAGTTTAATCATTAGCAAGTTGTCAAGCTTTT